ATGCAAAGTCAATATAAGTAGAGCCATCTTACAAAATGCAGAAAGCAGAGGATCAGAAGTCTGTGACTTCTCCAAAATTATTGTTTTAGGATTTGAGTTAGAATTTTATCCCAAGTTTGTAAGACTTCAAAATCCACAGCCTTTCCACCACAGCACTCTTCTTTCTTTTGTTCTGTTTCTATCAAATTTATGGGACACCATTTTAATATAGCTCAGGCTTTAACTGATATGTAATCATGTGGTTTAGGAAACCAAAAGAAGCTAACCCTCTTCTAATAATAGAAACTAGGAAAGCAAATCCACTGTGAATTGATGTCCCCATACTTCTGCTCATTTCATGTACGGAGAGGTAGCTGCAGAGGTGTGAGTCAAGGGGCTTTTGAAAATTTTCACCCAGGTACCAAAGAAGCAGACAGAGTTTACAAGCCCTCATTTAAACAAATATATATATATGTTAACTCCTTAATGCATTCAGATATTATTTCCTATTCTAAATCTTTTTTTGTTGTTGTTTTTTGAGGTACTGTGGTTTGAACTCAGGGCTTCATACCTGCGAGGCAAGCACTCTACTACTTGAGTCACTCCACCAGCCCTTTATTCGTGTTGGGTATTTTCAAGATAGGATTTTACAAACTATTTGTCAGGGCTGGCCTCGAACTGCAATCCTCCTGATCTCTGCCTCCCAAATAGTTAGGATTCCAGGCATAAGCCGCCAACACCCAGCCCTAAACCAATTTTGAAAAAGCAAAACCTTGCATGCTGCAGCATGACAAAGAAACAGGAATACATGAGTAACTTCTTGACAGAGGTATTCTTGCCTGAGAGAATTTGGAAACCACTCAAACATCTTGATAAGAAACATATTTATTTCATTTGTTCCTCAGTTTCTTAGGCCAGTGATTTACCTATAAGTAGTTTGCAAACTAGAGTCAAGTATTTTAGCTCTCAGAACAAAATGGGAAATAAAAGAATTGATATTAGTCCTCAGAAATGGGCAAGTAACTGTCTCAGAGTTACAATGGATAACTGATTAGAGTCTGTAAAAACTCATATTTTTTAAACCTTATTGTTTGAATTAATTTAATGTCAAGATGTTTGTTCCACTCAATATAAAAATACTGACTTTTTTTTAAAGAGGCATACATTTCAATTTTGCATGTATATGTAAAATTGATTATTCTTTGGGACAAAGAGTGTATTTTTATTAATAGTTCAAAACTATTAATTTAGGGTGATCAAATGCTTTTGTTTCTATTTTAATCACAACACTAAAACTGTGAAAGCAGCATTCCCCTTTCCCAGCTTTGTGCTGGGTTTCTCTATGGCAAGCACATTATTATTCTGGAAAGTCAAGTTCTCCTGGAATAAGTAAAGGAATAAATTTCATTTGCATTGTTAATCTCCAAAAATCACCCCTTGGTTAGCTTCATCCAGTGCAGTAGAGCTCAGGGCTGATTATTTGTTAATCTAGAGATGTTGAATTGTATGCTGTGAATGAAGAAATGTATACTCCCTATAAGTTCAGAAATACAGCTTTTAAATGAATTAGCTTCAGTTAAACTACAGTGGTCATGCAATCATTTAGCTGGTAATTACATAGCTTCTAGCAAGAACATCCATAAAATTTTACCTAATTTTGTGTGAATTTGTTATACTCATTAGTATGCCCATTAGAAAAAGTAAATGAAAATTAAATTTGAAGAAGTTTTTTTTTTTAAAGACTTTTAGGCATCTTTGATGTTGTCATGAGGTTGAAATTATTGCAAAAACTGGGTTTTAGAACTGCAGTTATCTACAGATTTCAATTATACATGCTACCCTTTCCCCTGCTAGGAAACTGAACGTTGGACATATTAACTTGTTACATTATCTTCAATCTAGAAATTTTTACAGACAAGTTTGAGCTTATCTATTATTTGTGAATTTAAAGAAGTCGACTTCGTGCACCGAACTTCTGGCTCAAATACTGTTATCTCTCACCTCTACCCAAACTTTTAATGTCCACTCTCTTCTTATTTTAAACTCTCTTCTTCAGGAGAACTGACAACTCACCATCATCTACCCTCCCTTCTACCAAAGAAAAACAGAAGCAAAATATAAAATTTAATTTTGGAATATTAGCAGCTTTTAGTTTGTTATGCAAGTTCTTCACCCAATGTGTGTGTTTTTTCTTAGAGTTTGTAAAGCTCTCCGCTTTGCATATTCACATTCAAGCGTCTTTGAACCTTGCTCTTTAGAATCATGGAAAATGTCACTTTTGATCTGTCTGGGAAAATCAGAAGAAAAGATGCTTGATAAACGAATGAATGAAAAGAATTTTTCTGCACAACATCGTTAATACATTATTATGTGGATAGTAGGGAACCTTTTTGGAGACCTTGTTTTTTCTGACACCTAATGAACTCCAATTATCCATTGCTGTCTTTCTGTGTCCAGTCTTTATTCGCTGCTCCCTTCCTCAGACACCAGGACCCAAGCCATAGATTTATATTTTCAAGATCTAAAAGAGAAAACACCAGCTGAAATATCAAACCTGACTTCCCTTGCCTTTGGGATACATGCAGGTGGCTTGGCCTCAGTGGAGTGATAAACAATTAAATCAGCAGATTTATACAACTGCAGAGACAGTGGTGACTCGGCAGGGTTAAATGAATTGGTACAAATCTACCTCCTGGTCATTTTAAACAAGAGATTAAGAAGTGGAACTAAGCCAACAGGGGAGAGAGATGATGTTTATTTTGTCACAAACACCAAGTAGGATGTCACCTTGAATGCTCTTGCAAGGTTATTTCAGTAACCAAAGGCATTCTTAATACAGCTACACTCCTCGGTCTATAGGGTAGGTTTCTGTAAACTTTAGAGACATGCTAGGCTGGGTGATTCACCAAGTAGTAAAGCACTTGCTTGGCATGTGCAAGGTCCTGCCTGGGTTTAATCTTGACCATGGGGGGAAAAAAGGAAAGAAAGAAATACATGAATGCAAGATTAATCTCTTCAATTCTACAAACATTAACTCAACTTCCAAAATATTCAGAGATCCAAGATGAACAATCTATAAAACAGTAGCTCTGAACACTGGATGCTCAAAGAACCCATAAATAACATCAATATCCAAGCTCTACTGAGTCAATGTGTCTGGACTGGGACTAGGCATTTGTAGTTTTTTAATGTTCCCCAGGTGATCAAATATTCAACTGGAGTTAAGGCCTCTAGGAGGTCCTGGAATCACAGATTCCCTAAGAGAAAGCACAACAGCAGGATAATAGCATAGGAGGGCATGTAGTGCTGTGGTGACTTAGAGTCTCCCAAGTTTGCCTGAGGACAAGGCACAAGGAATGTTTCACCAAGGAAGTGATGCACACATATTTCAGAAGTGTAAGTTGATACAGCTAGCTAAAAACTCATGAACAAGTGTCACATGGCAGGTGCTCTGGCAGTGGGGAGCATGAATTAGGTGGCATTATACACAAACTGGATATGAGGAAACTGACTTGCTGGCACAAAAAAATGAACAAAACATGTTAAGATTTGAATCTAGGACTCCTGCCTCCAATAAAACACAATCTGGGACAAAATGGACTTCAGTCATTTTTAAATTTTAGTATTTCTAGAAAACAGATGCTTGAATACCTGTAGTGGCTAAGATGCTTAAAGACAGAGTCTGAATTTATTGCTTTTTTGTCCAATACCACTTTTAATATTTTTGCTGGAGTTTTCAAAACACGAATATTTGATTTCCTTCAAGTTGACCTAGTAGAGACCCAAATACAGCAAGGCCTCACAGAAAAGCAATTTCTTCTTTGAACCGAATCCAATCTGAGCCCTGAGGAGGTGAATTTTGAGGGTTTCAGTGATCTGCGCATGGCAGATCTCCATAAAATCAGGGCCCCTGTGACTCTTTTGTCCTTCATTGTCTGTGCATTTAAAATATATAAGATTTATGACCTAAGCCACAGCAGAAGGCCCAGGCAGACACTTATTAGTCACTTGAGTGCAAATGTTCTCACTGGTTGTGCTAATGCAGCCTGGGCTCATTTTGTAAAAGTACCCTTGATAATACAAGGTGTGGGAAACCAGCCATATCTCAGCTACATACCTTCACATCTGTGTGCTGAAGCCAGCCTTACAAGACTTGCTAGTGAAAATTTTAATAACAAATGTTATCAAGTAATTTGAGTTCTACATTCAAATAAACACTCTCATCCTAAGACCACATCACTCAGATGTATACCTATGGTGTTTATTTCAGAGTTTAATTCATCATGTTCTCTCTGCTTGAATGTTCCTCTCTCTTTTCCCCTCATTAATTTTTTCCTGAACTTCAAATTGAACATATGCTGTCACCCATCTCCAAACTATGCTATGCCTTCTTCTCCTTTAGGACATATACCTCACAAGTACGTGAACCACTCAGGCACCAAGTACACAGTAGATCCCGATAAAATGTTGGTAGAATGAAGAGCAAATGAGTAAACTTAGAATCTTTCAACTGAGTTTTGGCTATTAACAGGAGCCTCCTGCACCACCCCTGACAGTGCTAAGCCAACCCTCATCTCTATCAGGGAGGCATTGCAGACGTTACACAAGCATTGCTATTGTGGGCCAGAGACTAGGATGCTCATTTATGGTCCACTCTAAATTAGCCACACTGTCTTTGGCAAATTACTTACATTCCTTGACTTTGGTTCCCTCTGTTGTAAAATTAGGACTAATAAATAATGCCCTATTTTCCAAGACATAAGAAATTGATCCAGAAGCTTATATAACATCTCCAAACTATGGCACATTGGATCAAATCTTTCTTTGTCATATACAAACAGCAGAGTTTGGGATAAACACAGAACTTCATTGGAACACTGTGCTGTAGAACATATATGTGATGATTGACTTACAGTAATCACCTGATTTGAATGGATTAAGTATATTATATCACTAATTCTTATTATTACCTTTACTTTTCCTATTCACTTAGGAAGAACCTGCAAGCCTCTATTTCTTACCTTTTGACTTTCGGTCATGGTATGACCTGCCTCGATAATGAGGGGTGTCCAGATACAAATTCTCAAGATCTTCTTGCCATGACTCTGGATTGAAGTGCTTGAGCAAGTCTTCCACAGTATCAAACTCTGCAATTGTCTTGTCTAGAGCATCCGCAGTGAGCGTGGGGTCCGTTACTGATGGAGAGTGATAGGATACTCCCTAAGAGTGACATACAGCTCAATGTACTCAGGAAAAAGCTCATGGCTGTCAAACACAACAGTCATACACCTATATGGAAGGAATGTGCAAGACAGCTTCTGTCTAAATACCACGCAGAGCACTCTGTTGTTGTCTTGCTGTCTTTTTAAAATAAGAACAATTAATTGGTAGTCAAAGCCAAGAGGACCATAAAACTTCTCATTTATATGAACTGTAATCATTTCAAAAGATATAAGCTTGATGGAAATATAAAAATTAACTCATCTAATTTCTTGGTTCAAGGTCCCAAATCATTCAAATATCAATTAATAATGGTGAGAATTAAAATCTGGAACTCTCTCCAAAGGTGTTTGGATAAATCATTCCATTCTTCCACATTTAGCCTCCATGTCCCCCCTTTTCAGGTCACCTAGCATTGCAGATGTTGTGTGAGCAGTGTTTGACTACTCTGGAGACATTTTGATAAAATTTGGCACTTTATCCAACTTATTTACTGTCAACAAGGATAATTAGCCATGAAACTTGCTCTCTTGACTTAAGAGAGCAAGAGTCACATGGGAAGCATATTAAAAGAAAAAAAGTGCTATAGCTTGTGAGTGATCCCAGTTGCCATTAAAATAGTCGAATTATATTCTTTAAATGAGTAGCATGCCATCACTGAAAGAGTGGAAAGGATTATCTTATTTTGCCATGGAAATAAAACTTACCCACATAAGGTTTCCAAGCATTTACTTCACTAACCCTTGCGCAATCTAGAGGTAAATGAGCCATGATTCAAACATCTCTGTAAAAATTCATGACCCATTAACAAGGAAATAGAGAGCACATAGCCTCAAATGATTTCTAAATGTCTTTAAAGAAACTGCCAAACAAATAGGATCCCCCAAGGGCAAATATCTCCTATTACTAAGGGAAAGTGGAAATTAATGAAAACTTGCTTTCTTGAAACTTAACTGCAGAATCCTATGGAGAAATAATATGTTCTACAGAGTCCCAGACAACAAAGCTCACAAATATTATTCTTACTCCCTCTTTAACCAGTCAGTTAAAGACCACTTGCTCTCAGAGGAATGTCCCCTCTTCATAGCAAGATGAAGGGCCCAAAAGCATTTATCTACCATTGGTGTAACTTGAGAGCAGACTTCAACAGGCCCTGCCCTATAGGGAAAGGAAGTGGAGGGGCAGAGATAGGAATTGGGTAGTAGAGCAGAAAGTATGAGATGGACTGATGAATGTTTCTGACCAGAACTAACCAACTAACCAACTAACTAACCAACTAACTAACTAACTAAACTAACTAACTAAGTAAAGGTAAACTCCTTCCCTCCCTCTCTCCCCCACTCCCTTTCTCCCTCTTCTCCTTCCCTCCTCTCCTTCCTTTCTCTTTCCCTCCCGTTCTCTCTTTTCCTTCCTTAGAAACCATGCATCCAATTTTCACTCAACCTTATCGGAATAAGTAGACATCCTCATCTTGCACTAAACTTTTCCTGCCATGCTAGCTTAATTACCTGCATGAATGCTTGCTGTATTCTGCACAGGTATATCCAGTTAATCATTTATCTGTTCACATGGTCTTTGCATACATTACTGCAGAGTTTAGGGATTTGTTAATAGTTCAAGTCATGACAAAGGCACCCTCTACAGCCATCTTGGTGTGGCCATATTTGAGCTCTTTAATCTAGAGCGTGTGTGTGTGTGTGTGTGTGTGTGTGTGTGTGTGTGGTTGTGTGTGGTGAGCCAAATCCTAACAGAAGCACATCTTTCACATCTCTCTTGACATTGCATGTTATGGGTGAATAACACAATTCAGCACTATAATTCCAAGTCCCCATTCACCTTGTACTACCTGGACAATTTGCAGCCCACCTGGCTTATATTCACCAGATAATTCACAATATACCTTGCATCACAATAATGTGGGTTGAAGATCCAAAAAATGAAAGTGAGCTGACCAAAGTTAGAAGCAGTGTAGCATATAAAAGCTCTGAAATTAAAACTTGTCCCTCTTTTTTTGAAATAAAAGTAAGGACATCAATCAAGATATCTGAACAGAAGTGAAAGCTTCTTATGACAGCTCTGAGGGAAGTGGCTGCAAAGGAATCTTCAGGTGGCCCTTCCCAATGCCTGCTGTGCATCATAGACCCAGGTATTTCTCCAGGAAAATACTCTTAAGGGATTTCCAGTCCTTGGGAAGGAGGGGAGTAGGGGAAACCCAATCCCTTCCAGGATGGGACTGAAGTGCAAATCCAAACTATAGGTAGAACATAAATGCATCCTATGGATGAGGCTTACTGTGGTTTTTGAGCTTTGACTCAGGGCAGTTGACAGACACAATGACGATAATTAAGAAATTATTTACAGCTAGGTATAGTGGCTAATAGTATAAGCTGGTAATGCCAGCTACTTGGGAGGTGGAGATTGGGAGGATCAAGGTTTGAGGCCAACCCTGGCAAAACTGTTAGCAAGACCACATCTCAATCAATAAGTCATGGTGTAGTGCATGCCTATCATCCCAGCTATATAGGAAGCAGATGCAGGAGGAATGGGGTCCTAGGGTGGCCCCAAAGAAAAAGTACAAAACCTTATTTGAAAAATAACTAAAGCAAAAAGGCCTGGGGGCATGGCTCAAGTGGTAGATTGCCTGCCTAGCAAGTGCTAGGCCCTGCTTCAAACCTCAGATCCCTCACAAAATAATAAACAAAGGAAAAAAACACTTACAAGTGACGAATGCCAGCATCACCAACCCTCCACTCCAGACAAAAGATAGTATCATCTTTGAAAACAAAAGTGAATTGATTTGGCCACAGGACCCATTTTTGAACCCTGGCACACTTTCTCTAAGTTCTTGACCTTTTTATGAACAATTGCATTTATTACTTGCATTGTATCGCTCTGTAAGTGCTACATGTAGGATTGTTGAAAACATGTGCTGCTCAGTAGATAATGAGACAGAAGACTGAGAAGGGCTAAATTTGGAGGAAAAAATTGGGGCATGTACCATTTTACAGCTTCAGGGTAAGTTATGTTTTATTCAAGTCAAGTAGAATACTGTATATGTCTGATTTGCACTTGAGTTATCTTACTGTAAACACTGGGATTTTTGAAGTCTGAAAAGACCCTTGCAAAAGTTAGTGGCTTCCCCTGGAATATTCCCAAAAGCTATTTCAAAATTTCCCAATCTAACTGGGACCATGGATCAGTTCTGTGTGTCTGGAAAGGCATTTTGTTGGAATTCTCTCTTTGTAACTGACAAATATTTATGTCATTGATTATCTCAAGTTCCTACAATGCTATACAGGCAATTCCTGAAAATCTTTCTGAAAGAGAAGCTAAAAAGGGTGTGTGGCATAAACTACCATAACTAGGATAAACTTGGTGAACATATTTGCCTGAGATCTGGCTTCTGGTCAAGCCACAGGTGCTTAGTGCAGTTGAAGTTCATCTGGGTTCACCTTACCTAGTCCATCAGTTTCATTCACTGGCAACAGAATAATAAATTACTTACTGAGATAGCACTTGTGACTGACTCCCAATTGGTCTCTGAGGCTGCTGCAGGTTGAAAATCTTCCTAGAAGGTAAAGACACATCCATAAGAGTCAGTCAATCCTCTGTTCAATTCATTATGTGCACAGTTTCAACATCACAGCCTTCTGAATCTTCTTCTACCTAAGTGACAACAGACATGGGGCTGCATTCTTACCGAACAGGTCACCATTTGTCTTAAGCATCTCTGCATAAGAACCCTTCTCATTTCAGACATAGACAAATGCATTAACATTCTGTTGTAAGTACTTGTGAAAGAGAAAATGTGCAGACAGACACTCAAATTTTTAACTTGGCCATCTACTGGTGTGTGACCTCAGGCAACCTCCTTATCCTCTCTAATCCTTTCTTTCCTCATCTGTAACAGGCTGCGATGTTTAAATTACAGGGCTGTTTCAAGAATTGAATGCATTAATTATGTAATTACAATTGGCACTTAATACAGTGCTTAATAGAGAGTAATAATAATGATTATCATTATTGATGTTCATTTGGTTTAAAGTAGGCTCTATATCACGTTCAACCCTGCCTGCTGAGTTAGCCCATGATAGCGGTGATCTTTTCAAGAATAAACTAACTTCCAAAGTCTGTTTCTGACTCTACCAACAAATGTCAGGAAGAATGGCAGGAGGAAGAAAATGATTGTTGGAGTGACAAAGTTGCTCAAGAAGATAGCAAAAAGCAGACCTGAGAATGTTATCTCAGACAAGCCTGGAAGGATCTATGACAGCCGTGGACCTCACAGAAAGAAATCTCTCCCAAAAGGCAAACCTATTTGCCATTCGTATATGACTTTCATGTTAATTATTCCAGCACCAGTAAATTAAAAAAACATAATGAGAAGAAGAATGGATTCTACCATTTTTACAGGTCACAGATGTCCTCTTTTCCTTGCTAAAAGACACAACCATGGTGAATTTCATTCATCTTGACCAGTAAGTTGGAGGTATTTTGAGATGCTGAGAAATATTCAGCAATCAAGTCTGACAGCTTATTTACCCAGGTATACTTACTGAGCAGAGTTAAGTAGCAGGTCTAAATTTCATTAACATTTTAAGGAGCTAGAGGTGTGTTTGTTAATTGCTCATGATGAGACTGGTTTATATATAAATGTCTGTGCTGAAGGAAATTTCAGCAGTTTACCAAGAAAAGAACTGAGTCAAATGTAGGGTTCCAGGAGTGAACATGTATTTAAAACAGACTATACATCATTATTCTAATCTCAACCTCAGGGAAGGTGGTAAAGAAACAGAAAACAGAAAATGTGGTCTGCACAGTTTGCAAAATAATAAACGTGAAAAGGGTGAATAAATGAAGGTCGGAATTTAAGTGGATGTTCAGAAGCAGGTGAGCAAGTAAGACTGGGAAGGAGGCAAAGGAGCCAGTGTTTTTTCCAGGTCTTAACATAAGTATTGGTGAGAAGATACCTGTCAGATGTATTAGTTCATGTCTCATTCCTATGACAAAATACCTGAAGTTGAGTACTTAGTAAAGAAACAAGGCTTACAAAACATAGTTTTGGAGGCTGAAAGTTCAAGATTGGGCACCCCATGTATTAGTCCTCTAGTGAGGGCCTAATGACAAATGAAATCATAGTGACAGTGAGAGAGAGCAAGGAGGGGGGGAGCGGAGAGAGAGAGAGAGATTACATCACCATGAAAGAGGAAGCCAGAGAGGACTGAGTCCCAGGAGAACTACATCAATCCTCTAATGACCTCCCTCTAGGCCCCACCTTTTTAGGGTCCTATCACCTCTCAATGCTGCCACTTATGTTGGGGACTAAGTTCCCAGTTTGAGCCCTTAGTGGGTCACACTCACACCATATCCAAATTGTAGCACACATAAGAGAATGACAAGAGCAAGTTTTAGGTAATATAATTATCATTTTCACTTCTTCATATCACATTTTTTAATTATCTCCTTCAAAATAGTGCATTTTCTAAGCTGAGGTTGAATCATAAGGAAATAAGGAGCTATGTCTTCTCTCAAGGAAATAAAAATGTAAACAAATTAGAGGAAATAAAGCTCTATAAACTGATGCAGATAATCTGACACCAGTCTAATCAGTACAATGGAAGGTGGTGGGCAATGGTACCAGGGGAGGAGGTGGTCTTGGAAAAATTTTATGTAAAAAGGTCATTTTTGGATTGGAGTCTTGTAAGATAAGTACATGGTTACTTACAAGAAAGGTGGAGTAGAAGACTAAAGTGAGAGATAAGCTTCAATACTGGGAGAGAGTATACAGAAAAGGAAGCAAGCTCCCAGGGAGAATTAATGAGCCCTACTGAACATAACACGTCTGAGGTGATTATGCAGTGTACAGGCAGAGATGGCAAGAGGAAGTTCTCTGCATGAGAAGCGACCTCAGGAGAGAGATTTGAACTTGGGATAGAGAGTTGGGAATTGTCAAACCCAAATGACAAAAGTGTAAAGCAAGTGATGGATCATGTTGACCACATGAGAAATCTGAAGAACATTTCTGAAATCTTGGATCTGGAAATAGGTTCAGGATGATCTCATCCAACCTCCTCATTTTAACCATGAGAAAACCAATTTTCAGGGAGATCAACAGCATGCTCTGTGTTATGCAGTCATCCTTCAAAGCTAGAAGCAGCAATAGAAATGGTGTGGTTACATCATGACAGTGGGGTTGGGGAAGAAAGTTGGCATGGGTCCCATGTGAGTCAACACAACAGCAGAAGAGGCAGAAAGCTGAGAAGTGGTGAAGAAGATTCTATGAAGACATCCTTTGAAGGATAACCTTAAATTTTATAAAAATATTTATTAAATTTTGTGACTCTAAATTGTTTCTTTGCATATTCAGGTGGTGAAAATATTTAATTAAGCTTTTTAAAGTATAAAAATCCTTTCACATGTAAATACCTAGAGAAATGTTACACAAGAAACTTTTAGCTTCTTTGCTGTCTGGGTTATGGGATTCCAATCAGAAACTTCTACAGGAACAAGTGATAAAGGGCTTCATTAAATCCCAGATAAAATGTAACTTTATCTTCTCTTAGTAACATGAATATTAGACATTTAAAAGAAGAAAAATTTCTTTTATGTTAGTTCAAAAGTTTCCCATCATTTATAAATGACATATTTAAAATGAGCTTATAAAAGGAAATGATATCCCTTGTAAAATACTGAACCTCCAAGGTTTTAGACCTAAAAGAAGAACCTCAGCATAAGGAGAAACATACCAATTTTAATTTCTAAATATAGCCTCAATGTGATCATTTCTTATTTCTTTCACCATAACCTCACAAGTCTAAGATACCAGCAAGTTTCTGCCTGTTAGCTCTCACCCTAATGTCCACATTCCCCATGGCAGTCAGCCTTTTTTTTAAGGCTAAATTAAATCATTTCTGTCTTCTGCTTAAAACTCCTCAGCAGCATTCCATCGTGCTCTGTATCTATCTTTGTAAGAGTTGACCATTGCCTGCCTCTGTGACTTCATCTCCTGGTATCCATTTTTGATTTGATTGTCCTACATTTCTCAATAACTCCATTACAGTTACATTCAAATACTCCAAGCACCTTCAACACTTAGGTTTAATCCAATGCTATTCTCTCTGCCTGGATGTGTTTTCTCCCAAATGTTCCAATGGCTGGTTCCTCATTATTTAATCGTCTACTGAAGTATCAAATCTTTAAAGAACACCTAGGAACAGTCCATTTAAAACAACCTCCCATGTTGAACACTCTATATACTTAAGCTGCTTAATTTTAATTAAAGTATTTATGATTATCTGAAATGATCCTATGCTTCTTTGTTGATTCTTTTCCCAACTAGAATGGCAAAGACATTGCTCCTTTGTTTTCTACTCTGCCTCATGCTCCAGTTTCTCTAGTGACAAGTGCACACTTGGGGATGATCAGAACTTGATAGCCTGAGTTCATTTTGATCGGTTGGTGCCTATGTTACAATGTGTTATATGATTTAAATACCATCCTGGTTAGCTTGCTGCATTTTCAAACTCTAAGATAATGGAAGACTAACTCTTTTTCCATGGGTACTCTTAGCAGAGCAAGTGCCCTTCTATCACTTGAAGAAACCTAAAATAGAACAAACGGTGAGTAATCATTTCAAATGTACCAAAACATTCCAAAAAACACATTTCTGTTCTTTGTTAAATCTTTAAAAGCTAGGTCCATTCTTCTGGGGAGAGATATCTATTTGCTTAGCTCTAGGAATTTGGTACACATTTAGCTCTTGATTTCTTTACCTGCTCCTCTATCTTGCATCCTAAAATAAAGGAGCTGATAACTTGGTTACTTTGTTCCCTCAGACCATGAAAGGAAGTGCTGGTTCTATGTGTACCTCACTGTACCTTACAGATGTCATCTAGGGACTCCAGTGATTTTCTGAGAAGTGAGCAGACTGGAGTTCAGAGAGGCAAAAGAATTGTCCAATATCCCAAACTACTCATTAGTGGCATAGGAACAAGAACTCAGTTAGCTACTGTGCATCTTGTAGCCATGTGTTCTTTCCGACTCAGCAAATAATGCTATATATCGTTCTGCGGTTGTAGGCAACTTAATCTGTATTGTCTTAATCTAATGAGAATTAATTTATATCATTAAACATAGTAATTTATTCTTAGCTCATGTCCTCACATTAAAATGCTTCATAATTATGTTTTGGCAGAGACAATCATTATTTGGCATGTTAAAATGAAAATCACTCCCTCGTTTCTGTGCATTTTACTGTTTGGAGTACTCTTGAAAGTATAGATAATGGCATGTTCTCATACACTACTTTTTAAATAGCTTAGCATGCATAGTTTAGTTTATGTGAATAAAGCTTATAGACTAGAAAGTTGGGGAGGTATATAAAAATGAAACCTTAAAGTAGTACACAAAAACACAGATAAATAAGTTACATAAGTGTAGTGAGAAAGTAGTTTATCTATGTATGAATGCTAAAGTTACAAAACATAAAAGCTGATACATCGTGCACATGTAAGATGTTGTATAAATCCAAAAGATATCATGGGGGCAGGGGGGAGAAATGACCCAAGC